TGTATTCAATTTCAACTTTTAGAGACTTTTTAAGACTGTTAGAATTCTGGTGTATTCAATTAGAACTTTTAAAGACTTTTGAAAAGTTTACATGTATTCAATTGAGATTTTTAATGACTTTTAATAAGTCTCCAAAAGTCTCAGGGTATTCAATTAAAACATTCTGAGAGTCTTTATAAGTCACCCGGTATTCAAAACAGAATGACTTTGTGAGACTTTTTAAATTTTGAGACTTTTAGAGACTTTTGTAACAAAATTACAAAGGAAAAGTCTCAACATAAATCTCATCAATATTGGTGAGATTTTGCTGGACTTATGTGACTTTTCACGCTCTCTTTCATTTTTTTTCTTTCTAACATGACTTTGTATCTCATATCATTTTCATGCTCTATTATTTACTTATTTATTTTGATACCTTGTGTAATTTTTATTTTCATTACGTAATGTGATCTTTTTATTTTATATATTCTTTATTATGCTTATTTTATGCGTGTATACCTTTATTCTCTCATTTTGCTATCTTGTGAATTTGACTTTTCAAAGGTTAATGCTTCCATAGTTGCACTTGCAAATAATTTATTTGTTCTTTCTTTTTATTTGTAAATGTTTATTTCAAAATATTAAGAAAATTATTTTATTTTCTAATAGTTTATTTGATAATATTGAAATGTTTTGAATATTATTGATAATTTTATAAGATACAATTATTGTTTTTCGGCAATGTTTGTATCTTGTAAAAATATATCCTAATAATATTTTTCTAATATAACAACATTATGCAAAAAAATATTGAATAAAATCAATCAATAATTAAATAAATATATCTTAATTTGGGTTGATTATAAGTGTCGCTATAGCAGAGATATCTAGCACATATTTGAGCTTGTACTCTTTTAACAAACATATAAAAGGCCCTGCTCAATTCGAATTCGACTCATTGAAGCTGATCGATTTACTCTTTTAATAAATTTAAAATCCTAAACAATTTGTTCGTGAATAACTCATTTCGCATAAAATTTAGAGGATTAATATATACAACATCTTTTTTTCATTTATTCTTGTTTATATTGCTTATTATGTTACGTTTATTAATATTTTATTAAATATAATATTATAACTGCAAGTATATAAAAGTCTCAATAAGTTTTATAAAGTCCATTATGAAAGTCTTGAAAAGTCACTAATGAAAATTCTCTGAAAGTCTCAAAAAGTCCACCAAAGTCATGAAAGTTCTACAAAGTCCACAAAAGTCATCAAATTTAAAAAGTTTTAAAAAGTCCTTAAAAATCTCAATTGAATACACCCTCCTAAAGCTTCCCAAAAGTCTTTCATATAAAGACTTTACTTATTCATCCCTTACATTAAATATTAAATAGAAAAATGCTTATAATCTAGAATTTATATCATAAAATTACCACCACTGATGTCATCACAATAGACAAAGAGTTAAAAATACAGACGTCAATATATATATCTGTATTACGTTCACAATTTTCTTGATCATGCATTAATAATAGGTATTTTTCTGCCTATAAAGTTCTAAGTTTGGTCTAAACAGTTTGATAGTTAGATGGGTCAACCCAACTATTTTATAATAAATATAAATATAAATAATTATGTTATGAAATGTGTCATACTTTTATTGATGTTGTTTTTTCGAAATTTTAGTACACAAATATAACATACAAATAAGTATATCACAAATTATAATTATATCGTTGCATAGAGAGTGTTTCAGGTGTATTTTCGTGATCAAGTTTATCTAACTACGCAACTATCTTTTTAGATTTAAATTTGCAGAAAATAAAAGAATAAAAAGACCGAGATGAATGTACGATCAATAATTTTATAGATAAATGTTCAATAATAATTGTTTCATTACATTTTTGATACGAACTTACGAAGTCAACAATAATTGACTTCATAGTAGTGTCAACCTCTACGTATACGTAGCAAGTAAAAAATAACATTTTTTTAATTAATTGGAAACACAATTCACAACTACTTAATAAGAAAATACAATTAATAACTGCTCAACCATAATGAAAATAAATACACTTTTATTTTTAAGTTTGAATTTGAAAAATATAATTACAACAAAAAATTGTACTATTTTTTTTTCAAATATTATAAACTACTTATTGTGCATATTATTATTAACTCTAATGTTTAATTAAAATGATTCAAAGAATTTTAAATGATTTTAAATATATAAGATTAAAAATATTTTGTAGTATTTGTATTTGCAGTTTCTGATTTTAAAATATAGCTTTTTCAATATTGTTATATTTCTTATCAAGTAGTTGTCACTTGTATTTTTTAATCCAATTATAGAATATGATAATTTTTACTTGCTATGTATAGGAGATTTGTTTTTATTATGGAGCCAACAATTGGTTTCAGAGAAGAACTCTTGTTTTTTTAATTTAAACACTATATTAAAAAATGCAAATGAAGAAAGGTGAAATAATTGAATAATATAGGTTTTGAGTGATGAATTAAAACATACCTAAATGCATTAACGAAAAAATTCAAAACTATCGATAATTGTAGTGCATTTAGGGTTGTAAATAGCTGAGCCGAGCTCGAGCTCGAGCTCTTGGCTCGTTAAGTAAATGAGGCAGAAATCAAGTTCGAATTCGGCTCATTTATTAATATTAACGAGCTGAGTTCGAGCCTTAACGAGTTGATTTCGAGCTTTAACAAGTCGAACTATAGAGAATTATATAACATTTTTCTTTTCGAACTTCAACGAGTCGAGTCGAGTTCGACTCGTATACGAAATAAACTTTAAGCGAGCTCGAGCTTGGTTGTTTATCAAACGAGTCGAGCGGAGCTCGAGCTTTAACAAGCTGAACTCACCAGCGACTCGTTTCGTTTGACAGCTCTAAATGCAGTTGTCGAATCAACACATACACACAATGAATATGTATGTTGATCCAATGTATAAAAAAAAAGGTAATCACCCTAATAGGATTGAATGTTCCCCAATTTACATAGATCCATCCTTTTTGTTATTATTTTTTTATACTTGTTAGACACTATGATTAAGAAAAGAAAAAGGGACACGCAATTGAAACGTTGAATCAAATTTTCGGACCAATTGCTAGATATCCGCTAAAATGGCCCGTGTTTGCTGTTTGGGCTTATGCTGAGCTGGCCTGTTGAACTTCTTTTCTCTTTCCTCTCACGACCAAAA